CATAGTCTGGGTTCCCACGCTGCTGGGGAGGCTGGAAGGAGGACCAATGGAGCAATTGCACGAATCACAGGTTGGTCATAAAAGCAAAAGCTTCTAAATGAGATTATGTAGTCTATTGGGATTTAAAAGGAAATACAGGAGGGAAATCTGGTGCAGCTTGCTTTTTACCTTGTCATACTTTCTGAATTGGCCCACATGATCAGAAATTAGGCCTTGCAATTTGTTATCAACTCTTGATCTATAGTACCCTCTTTAAAATGTAAATACATTTTATATGCCTAAAATGAGTATTGAGAACATCTAGAAACCTTATTCACCTGTGTTTACCCAAGACAAGTCTCTTGAATTATATAGATACCATAAAATATTAAACAATATGGAAATAAGAGCCACAGAATTCAAATGTATAAAATTAATTGTATTCCATTTCAATAGCAATAGTTAATAAGCCCAAATCTCATCAACTACAGAGCTGGGGGAACTGGGACACGGGGTCAAGCTGTCCTGAGCTTCCAGTTCTGGTGCTGCTAACATATTTCAAATACTATTTTGCAAACCCCAGACTGGCTGCACTTAGCCAGTGGGTCTCATGTCGGATACCCAAGTCCTAAAACAACCAGGATATGATTATTCTGAAATTCCCTGAGGAAAGGCCACTTTTCTCTTAACCTCCCAACTTCTGTGTTGACCTGCTGATTCTCTTTTTAATACTGTGGATAAGTTGGTTACATTTGGGTTAATGAGGGTGTTTGGAATTTCTATCTGTTAATTTTCTGAAAAGAGGATCTTCCAGAATAGTCTTTCCCATCATTTGTAAATGCTTACCACAGCCTACTCAGCCAGGCACTGTGCCATGGCAGATTATGGGTCCCATGACCACAAAAATGATCCTTGCCCTATGGGAGAAACAATCTAGTGGCGACTCAGCCTGAACAGCTTTTAGTTCCGTGTCTCCCAGGTCTGCCTCTTTTATGGTAACTGTGCTAGTGACCAAGATTCTCCCAGGGACTAAGCACCCATAAGTAGTGGCAATGTCTATAGTTTGGGGAAATTCTCTTTAACATAAATAGCAAACTAGAAGCAAGATTCCCTTCTAAAAATACTAAGGCAAGAAAGAACTTGTTTATTATACTGTTGTATTATATGCATGTAAGGATATGTAACAGCAAATTCCATCATTATGTACAACTATAATGCACCAATAAAAATGTAGGGAAAAACAAACAAAATAAAAACAAAGAATTTATTTATCTCTTTCCATGCATGACTCATGGTCTGTAACTAGTGAAGAAAAGTGAATAATACACATGAATAATGTCATAATTAATAACATATTTTATTTGCTTTAGGGCTGGATCCAGCAGAACCTTATTTTCAGGATACACCTGAAGTAGTTCGATTGGACCCCAGTGATGCCCAATTTGTAGATGTAATTCACACAGATTCTGCTCCCATGGTTCCCAACATGGGTGAGTGCCACTTGTTCTTCTAGAAGGTTTTAAGTCTACACATTAGAGCATGTTATAGTTTCTATACGGTAAACTAAATATTCCCTAATTTTAAAATTCTTCAGGATTAGGAATGAGCCAAACCGTGGGTCACCTCGATTTCTTTCCAAATGGAGGAAAAGAAATGCCCGGATGTCAGAAGAATGTTATCTCTCAGATTGTTGACATAGATGGGATCTGGGAAGGTAAACCATTAAGTGTTCAGGGGGGTTTTCATTGGGGAAAGTTTACATTTTGTCTTGCTTTGGAATTGTACAGGTCGTACATTTTATATGACAAAGGGTTTTGAACTGCATCCCCAAGGTACAGGCTCACATTTGGACACATGGGCATGAGGAGACTGTGGGAAAGAAAGTACATTTGCAGTCAAATTTGTAAGGATCTAATTCAGGGAATACATTACTGAGTGGACCAATCTTTTTCTTCTCAAGCAATTTTTTCCATTTCATTTAACAATGAGGCACTAACTATTATAACCTTAAACAGTATTTAATTTCCGAATGCTTCACAAATCATAAATACACTTCATAAATGATTTTGTGTAATGACCTCCATGAGTTCACACGAATTAGAGAAACCTATTCAACAATTATGTTCTACTCAGGACACTTACGTGGAAAAATAAAATCTGTCACTGATGTGTAATCATGTCTGATTTCACAGGAAGTCGTGACTTTGTGGCCTGTAATCACTTAAGAAGCTACAAGTACTATGCTGATAGTATTGTCAACCCCACCGGCTTTGCTGGATTTTCTTGTGCCTCTTACAGTGATTTCAATGCAGTAAGTACCCACATTTCTATTAAAGAAATTTGTGACTGTCCTTCTCATGACTGACATGGTTCACCGTACATGACAGCATTCAATGAATGTTTATACTCTAATCCTTAATTCCTTTAATCATAGAAATTTATTTTAATCACAGTAACCCTGTTGCCTATCACTTCCCTATGTATCTGAAATATGCTCCAATTTGTTATGAAAGTAATCCTAAACAACTATAGCGACAACAAAAATCTAGGCTATGGACAGCTGAGTTGTGTTTATAGGAAACTGTTGAACTATACATTCCCCTTATGTGGAAATTTTGCTTAAATGCTGACCTTTTAAATTATAGTTATTAGCATGTGACTATTTCTGTGCATTCTCATAATATTCATTATTACTTTGAGTTTTCAACATGTTTGGGATTCTCTTGATCTCTAACTTGGATTCTCATGTGTGTTCTTGAAAATGACATATCTATTGTGCATTTTTTTCATAAACTTGGATTTTCTTCTCACTACAATTTTTTTTCCAAAATAGTATTTCTAACATATGCCATTCGATAAAGAAAATTTCAAGTGGCATCCTCATTACCAAGGAGACAAACCTAGCAATTAAGAGAGGACCAAAACCCAGGTTTCACCAGTAATAACTGAATGATTCTACACAAAATACTTCACTTCTTTAAAGCAGTTTCTTCATCTATAAATGTAAATAATAATGATAGACTCAACATATTTGGTAGGAGGAGTTAACACTCTAATGTATGCTAATTACTTAACCCAGAGCTGAAAAACATAATAATTGTCATTCTGAAATGGGAAGCATATGATGAGAAAGGGATCACATGTTTTGTTAATAATATTATGTACACAGTTTGACAAGGAACTCCTTGTCTTCTTTCTTTGTTTTAACTTCTTATTTCTGTCCCTCTCAATGTCCAAATATGGATAATAAAGAAAACAAAGAAGCAAACAAAAAACCTTTAGGACTCATTCAGTTAAAACAAAGTCATTTTCAAGACTATCAACAATCCTTTTAGGTAATACTCAGCACTTTAGTAAAAATAAGTTCTCAGTCTTGTAGATCTCTCTGCCTTTGGACTCCCTTCCTAAAATTCTCTCCGAGAGGCAGTGGGCAGCTAATCCTGGTAGTGGTGGTGCTAGTGGTCAACCTGTGTATCACAGAGGAAATGATGTGGGGGTCCACTGGCGCATGTCTCTTGGCTCCTTTGGATTCTGACCCATGTCCTCGTCTGCCTTATTGATGGGCACACTCATGGCATAGAGATGAAGTCTGGGTTAGGCAAAGCCCTCCAAAAAAATGTCACCCAAAGAGACACAGATGATCTGTTAAGAAATGGGGTGGGCATTTATTTGGGGTATTAAACTGCAATTTGAGGAACACAGAATCCAGTAGAAACCAAAATGTGTCCACTAGAGGGACGGGTTTCAAGGGTCCTTTTAAAGCTGGGGAAAAAGGAAGTCTAAGTGAGTTACATAGGTTGATTGGAGAATAAATTAACTTCTATAATTCATTGTACTAATGTGGACTAACTTAGTTCAAACCATAGTTCTAGAAAAAAGAACACGGTTCTTTTTCAGTTCCTACAATCCCCAGTTATTCCTTCTCAGCAAATAACTTTCTTTTGTCATGTCAGCAAGTTCA